AAAAAAAAAAAAAAAAAAAAAAAAAATAGAAAAATTATTTAATATTCTGTTCTTTTTTATATTATACGTATATAAAAACTCCAAATTTTAAATACTGTTTACAATGTTTAGCATTAATAAATCAATTTTGTAATTAATAAATGTACAACAATATAATAGGAATGGATGATATATGATAAATTACATTTTCACATTACTTTTGAAAAACATACATTTTAATTACTTAAACAAAAAATATATATTTCGACACTGTTTTGAATTTTTTTTTTCGTTTTATTTTGTTCTGTTATTCTTGAATAAAAAATTATGCTATATGTGGAGGTGGTGGAGGTATTTGCATGCCTGTGGCTAAAAGTGCTGGGGGTGGTGGTACAGGATTAAACATGGGTGGTCTTGGTGGTGGTGGAACTGGTACCATAGGTGGTCCTAAACCAGGTCGTATTAAAGGAACTGGAGGTGGTGGTACCTTGCCAACTGAAGGCTTTTCATTTTTAAATGCAAATTGTAAAAAGAATTGCTTTGTATCTTTATTCCAATGTGTCCAAAACTTGCCTTCAGCTTTTTCAACTTCTCTACTAGGTACCTAAAACATTATACAATTATATTCATAAGTATGAAACATGGGTAAATTATCTTCTATTATATATGGTTGTTTGCTTGTTTTTACTAATTTATATGAAAGTAAATATACCTTGAAAGCTATAGTTTCATATGGCTCTGCAGCAAACAATAAGTACTGCCATTTACGATCTGGTGGTTCAACTCTTTGTTCATATGCTGACATAAATCTATGTCTTGGAATAACATTATCTGCAACTTCTGGATAGTCAACTTGGAATAATAAACTTTGTTGTCCTGATTCTGGATCTCGTTGTTTAGTTACTCTATAACCAGGCCTTCCAATTTTTACAAATTTTTTTGGTTCTACTCTAGGTTTTTCAGGGGCAAGTGTTTGAGGTGCTTCTTTTGCTTCTTTAGCAGCTCTTCTAGCTAGGTTAGCTTGATGCTTTTTACCTTGTGTATGAGCCAAATAACTACCTTCATTATTATGAAGAGTTAAACATAATTTACATTCATAAGAGCCTAAATGATTTTTCATAAAATATGGATCCTTGTTGAGGTCAATAGTTTCTAGTGCAAGTTGTCGTAAACGTTCTCTCCTATCTCGATTACTTTCTGACCAGGATGCAACACCTCCTCCACCGGTCTTGCCTCCTGGACGATTTTGGAAATCCATTTTTGATATTTATTTATGTTCTTTCACTTATTCGAATATAAAATACATCAATGTTTCCTTGTCGCAATGCAAGCAAAGGAATACAACTTTGACATAAAATAACCTGTACACACTAAATTCTTTGATACTTCAGGATATACTAAACTATCAGAATGTCAGTGAAGGCAACGTAAGAAACATAATTAAATTACCAGTAAAGATGTGTTGGCATCTCATGCAATTTCAAATGGAAAAGGTAAAATAATTTTAACGCCAAATATTTTCTATTCATATTTTATTGAACGAATTTATAATGTAACTTTTTTCATTTTTACTGACATCATTATTAGAACAATAAATTTAATTAACATGTTTTTTTTCTTGTTATATTATGATTAAATTATATAATTTAAATTCGAACTCAGAATAGAAATTAATTTATGGCACATTTTATGTATATATATATATCAATATACAATTGAATTGTGAACATTCTATGAAACCACAGATCATATTTTGTTATAAAGTTGGCATGAAAGATGTGAACATATATAAAGCCACCTTCAACGTCATATTACATATAAAAAGTAGTTACTCTTAATTAGTTACTATCATTATTTACATTGTTTTATGAAAATACAAAAATATAATACCTCAGAAATATAAATATTTTAATATTGTTACTATTTACATTATCTTTGCAAAGAAGGAATGAACGTAATACTTGAATTGCAGTAGTCTCCTTATATTTAATAATACTTTAAGCTATAATTTTTGGAAGACATATACTATTAATAATTATTTCCATATGTCTATATCTTCTTCCATTATTTGAAGATTTTGCAAACTTTAATACATTAGCTAGTACGTTTTCTTTTTTCATTGCTCTGTAGAAAACATTAAATATATAATTTGTAAATTCAACATCTCTAAATTTTAATTTTTCAAGAAATAAGATGAAAGAAAAATAGAATGTAAAGAATAACATGCAAATTCAAAATAACATGCTTATGAAAATAAAATTGAAAGTTAGCAATATATGTAAATACTTAATAAATAATATATAAATATTTTGTCTTAATTCTGGCTCTAAAGAAAGAAATATCTATAACTCTTTATTTAATTTCATTAAACAAAAGCCATACTGTTACAAATAAATTATAGAAATTGCACTCCAATAGATAAGCATCACAGAAAAGAAATTTATTCATGATAGTATAGCTTAAAGTAAAACTTGTCTTAAAAAATGTTTCTCACAGGTTCATGTTTCTTTCCATATCACATTATTTGGTGAAATGTATGGTAGAAGTAGTTATTTCATCAGATTTTTCTTTTAAAAATTCGACACATTTTGAGTATGATGTAGATTGTGCTTCTTCTAATTCTCTTACTCTATCTTCCAAATGTTTTATTTGTCGACACCGTGCACGGCATATATCTTTTATCAACGTTTTCTCTTTTTCCAATTTCATTATTTTTACATGATCCTATACAAGTTAATCGTTTTTACACAAGATTACTGTATTTTATACTTCTACTTACCTCAATTATTTCGTTGTTTACAGTAAAAAAATTTGATGCATTATCAAATGTTGTTTGACATGCCTGACTCCTTCTATTGATACGCCATCGCCTACATATATCACAATCCCACGCATTAATATCGTTTAGAGTTCTTTGAAGTTTTCTCATCTCAGAATTGAGTTCAGCATTCTAAATAAAAATACTATTATTAATTTTAAAAGGGATTTATGATTATCTTTAATTAATTTAATTAATTTTTATATTTAAAAAGATTTAAAAAGTAAAGTATTATACACACCTTTTTACGAAATGTAAGTAAAAGTTCTTCTAGTTCTTTGCATTTTCGTTGGTAAGGAAAATTTTCACTCTGGATTTGAATTTCTAATGTTGCAATTTGCCCATTTTTTGATACTAGTTGTAACTCTAACTCACAAATCTTTTTTCTTAATATTTCGCATATTTTTTCATTTTCAATGGAATCTGCATCAATTATTTTATTTTCTAATTGTCTTCTTTGATTAAATATTTCATTTCTGCTATGTCTTCTTCTGTTATTTTCAAAAATTGAATTAGTAATACTTGAACTACTACTATCATTTTGATAATTATTCAATTTCATATGTAATTTCTCAAGTTTTTCTTTTGAACTACAAAGGTCTTTTTCACCGTGTAGCTTTGTATTTTCTATTTCTTTTATATTATTTTGTACTTTTGTTTGAAATATTTTAAGCTGATTTTCAAGATCTTTGTTTTTTTCTTCTAAAATTTTTAATTTTTTCTTTAATTTATTAACCAGTTTACTTTCATTTTGCTGGATATATGTTTTACATTCTTCGAGATGGTTCTCAAATTCTTTTTTTATAGGAAACAAATCTTTGATTCGATTTACATATTCTACAATTTCTTTGTCTTTTTGTGCTAATAATAATTTTATGTTTTTTAATTCTAATTCGATTTTATCTTTTTCTTGAATTAGCATATCATATTTACCATCTTCTTTACATGGATATGAAGTACTTTGTTTGGATCTGTACAAAGTTTTTTTTATTTCAGCATTTTCTTTGGACAGTAATTCATATTGCCCTTGTAAATTAACTAATTCTAGGAAAGTTTTATTTTTACTCTCTTGCAGTTCAGATACCCGGTTAGTTGCACCTACCAAGTTATTTTGCAATCTTTTATTCTCATCTTTTAATTCTTCAATCTCTGTTTCAACTTTCATTTTACTAACACTGTTTCTTATTTTTTTTTCTAATTTTATATTTACCTTCTGCAATTCTGCAAACTTTTCTTTCAGTTCATCTATTTCTTCTATTAAAGCAATATTCTTATTATTTAATTCATTTAACTGCTTGTTTAATCCAACATTTTTGATTTCTTCCAAATCTAATTTATCTTTAATTATTTCAATCTGCCTATCTTTTTCCATTTTTAATTTTTCTATTCCTTCTTTATATCGTTCTATACTTTCTTTCCTTTCTTTAACTTGATTTTGTAGCATTTCATAATCTGGTATGATAGTTTCAAGTTTAGCTTTATTTTCTAAAAACATGTCACTTTTATTTTTTAAAAGTGCTGTAATATTTTCAATTTGAATCGTCTTTTGTTGTACTTCATCATTTACTTTGTTATAAACCTCTGTAAGTTGTTCAAAATCAAGAGTAATTTTTTGTATGATTTGTTGTTTCATTTTCAATTCTGAATAATTTGCTTCCACAATATTTTTCAATTGTTTCTCATTAACTTCAAGTCCTTCAATGTTATTTTTTAATTCCATATTTTTTGTTTTATAGATTTCTAGAGTGCACATGATCTCTTCTATTTTCTTTTCATATGATTCTATTTCAGATTTCATTTTAGACTCTAGTTCGATTTCTTTGTGTTTAAAAGCTTCCTGCACTTCTTCTTCTCGTTTTTGTGCAACGATGAATGCTTCTCCCTTTTGTTGAATATCCACTTTACACTGTTTATTAAATTCAGTTTGCAAATTATTAAAGTCTATTTCTAATACCTCTATTTTTTCTTTTAGTATTTTCTTTTCATAATTACTTTCCGTTAGAAGATGATCTAATTGATAAGATTTATTTTGTTGCTCTTTACACAAGCTTTCCTTCTGTGTTAAGTCAATCTGCAATTTTTCAATTTCCGTTTCCAATTCTTTAGCCCATAACATTACACGCTTCTCAGCATCTGCACTTTGTTGTCTTTTATCTTCTATTTCTTGTTTATCTTTTTCAAATAATTCTCTCATTTTCTTAATTATTTCTTCTTCTTTTAACATAAGTGCCTGTAAAAAAATTGTGAAAATTTCTTTTGCAGTTTTATTTAAAATATCTACAGAATGTACTTCAGATTTAAGTGACTTTAATTCTTTTATCATACATTCTTTGACAGTATCTAACTCTTCTTTTAATTCCTTATTAATAGTTATTAATGTTTTTTCTGTGTTATCTTTATCTTGTAGACTTTGGAATTCTAGTTTGATGTTTTTAAGTTTACTAAGTTCTTGTGTTAAGTTACCATTTTCTTCCATATATTTATTTAATGTTTGATTATTGTTATTTAATTTAATTTCAGATTCTTTTGTATACTGTTCAAATTTTTTCTTCATTGTTTCAAATTCGCTTTTATATTTATCTGCCATGTCATTTCTAGAATCAGTTAATTGAGCTTTAGATGCTTCTAATTTTTCTTTCAGTATTTCTTTCTCATTTTCTGCTTCTTGTACAAAATTTTCTAACTGGCAAATTTTTCTCTTATATTCTTCGTATATATTTTCTTGTTTCCTCAACCCAGTTTCAAGTTTATTTACATTTGTTTTTATCTCTTTAGCCCACAGTATTGCACGTTGTTCTATTTCTGCGCTTATTTGTTTTTCTCGTTCCAATTCATTGTATTGTTTTCTTAATAGTTCTAATTTATTTTTATATTCATACTCAATTTTCTCATTTGAAGTACTTAATTCATTTTTTTCATTAGTTATTAAATCTAATTCATATTTTAGGGATGATATACATTCATTTAAATCATTAATTTTTTGACTTAATGTAGTAATAAGAATATCTTTATTTCTTTTTTCAGCTTTCAAATCTTCTAATTCTACTTCCAGCGTCAATTTTTCGGTTCGCATTATCTTTTCTTTCATGGAAAACTGTTCGATTTCTTTATTCATATTTGATAATTCATTTTCAAGAATTTGAACTTTCTCCAAGGCAATAGTTTTTGACATCTCTTTATCTAACACTTTTTCTTGTAATTCTTCATTAGTATCTTTTAGTATACTAATTTCGTCCAATAAGCTAACTCTTTCCGTCTGTAATTTACGAAACATAGGAGCAATATTCTTTTTTATTTCATCTATATCTTCTTTTACTTGGTCGATACTTTTTTGCACACGTTCGATTTTTGTTTCATTTTTAAAGATATGTTTCTTTGATTTGTAACTATCGTCTGTATTTTTTGCATCACTTACTTCATCGTGAAGTTTTTCAAGTTCGTCGCATTTTTCTTTGTATAGAACTGATAATTTATCATGGTCATCTTTTAAAGTGTGTAATTCATTACTTAAGTACTGAACTTTTTCCTCTACCAAGCTTACATTCATCCCATCTATAAAACTGGCATTCAAAGAAGCATCAGTAAAACTTACATTCAATTCTTGATGAACTTTAAGTTTTAATATTTCGGTATCTACGCATTTACGATCAAATTTTTTCTGTAAATCTTCCAATTTATGATTTAAAGCTTTTGCTTGAAGTTTAAGGGCTCTACGACTTTCGTTTAAGTTTTTCAAATGTATGCACTGACTACAGGATGATAGTTTTAAGTCACTTAATTTTTTATTCAAACGAGATAGATGAGCAACTTCGTCTTGTAACATTATAACTTTATTTGACAAATCCTCGTAATTTTCTTCTTGTAATATTTTCTTTCCAGTTTCATTTGTTTTTATAGAATTATCAGATACTGCAGATAATTTCGATATTATCGCATCATTATTTGCTTTTTCATTATGTGAATGATCAAAATTATCTATACTTTCTAATAGATTATTGGAAAACTTTACATTTTCATCAGTTAATACTGTTACTTTCATTTTTAACTCTACAATTTCAGCTTTCAAAATATTGTTTTCTGATCTTAATTGTTCTATGTCATTTTCATCAGAATTCGTATTTTGTATCATAGACATTTTATTTTTCAAGATATCGCACTGCTCTTTCAGCATATCATTTTTCTCAATTTTGTCAATTAAGTCAGAAGAAAGTTCATTATTTTCTGTTACTAAACATTTATTATTTTCTGTAAGTAATATAACTTTATCTTTGTAAATGCAATCATGATTATATAAGAGTGATTTACTTTCTTTAATGTTTTCAAGCTCTCTATCTTTTTCTGCAATAACAGATGATAATTCAATATTTTCTGTTTTTAACGAATCAATTTCATTTTGATATTTATTAAGTAATTGTTCTTCGTTGTACTCTACTAATGATTTTGAACGAAAAAATTCTAATTTATCATTCAATGACATTCTATCGCTTTCTAAATTGATTTTTTCGGCTGTGATTTTTGAAATGCGTTCATAAAGTGTATCGATTGTTTTTTGAAGATGAAGCTCAGCTTGTTTCGAATGTTCTTTTTCGGTAGATAATTTATTTGACATTTCTATATTTTCATTCGACAATAAATAAATAGTTTCTTGCAATTTTTCTATATCTAATTTAAAGCTTTGAATAGAACTCTTTATGTGATTCAATTCTTGAGTTTTTATCTCTAAATCTTCTAATAATTTGGCTTTTTCTTCTTCTAATCGTATTATTAAATGTGTATAATAATCATCAATTTCGTTATTTTTGACACCGGAACAAATAAACTGCTTCGTCATTTGTTGTTTTAAATTCTTGAAAAAAGTACGAAATTATAAAAATGTATAATATATTAAATTATAAAATATATTAAAGCATATATATATTAATTATACTTACGTTTGTACAACAATGATTTTCTTCACATATCAGTTGTTTTTCTAAAGTTGTAAATTCGCGAAGTTCGGTAAGATCTCTTGTCAGATCTAGAATATATTTCCGTAAAATACCTTTTGGTGTAGAAGCAGATACCTCATTGCTATTGCAGAAAAGTGGAAATACTAAGCTACACTAGAAAATATAAATATTTTATTAATAAACAATACATACCTAGAAATTTGTGGAGACTCTTTTTTTGCTGGTATTAAAAGAAAATTATCATTTTTAGATTCTATGTCAGATTCATTCTTCATGCATTTAACATGTTCATTTTCTTTGATGCTATAATCTGTTTCAGAATCAATTAATTCTAATTCAAAATCTGTAAAGGCTGTTTGAAATGCTGAAAATACAAAACAGTTTAATGTTTTCAAATAATAAAAGATACTGTATGAATCAAATTGCACAATGTAATAAATTTACTTTGATTTATAATGTCAACTGATTGCATAATATTCTTTTTTTGTGGTATCTCAGATGAAATTTCTTTTATTGTTGGCAAACATGTTTGAGTATGAAATACAGGTAAATATTGTTTGAATGTTCCAGGATTATACCAAATTTTTCTTCTTCTAGATTTACATATAAATGGTTCTTCACAATTTTTTGTACATCCAGAAATAATTTGAGTCTTTAATAATTTTATACGTTCTTCTAATAAGTGATTAATCTGATATTTCTGTTGCAGTTTATTAGATTCTACTTCTTCTACAGAAGAATTTCCATTTTTTATTCGCTAATGAAATAATTCCCATATAACATAATAATGGTCATCAAAATTTGTTAATTTTTTAAATAAAATTACAAGTAGTTATACAAACCTCTAATTCTATTTGAAGTTTAGTTAATTGTTTTGCATAACGTATTAAGAGTGATGAATCAGATATAACTTCATTCTTTTGTGGTTTGGTTTTGACATCTTTAGCTTGTGATGCAAATCTAAATAGTAAACAAAATATTTAAATACTAGTAAAATTATGAATAATATTGTAGAGATAGTGTACTAACGAGAGAGTGCAATATGTTTCCTCTAAAGCAACAGGTAAAACTGTACACACTATTGCTATCAAAGCATTTCCACTTAATGATGTCTGTAGAAATTCTGTTAATTTACTATTATGATAATCATAATCAATATGTTCTTGAATATTTTGTGAATTACTTATCTGTGCAATTATTGATTCTAGTGCCGAAAGAGATATGTCAGTATGATGTTCATCAACAATATCTGGATAATAAACTTTTTTAAAACCTATAAGTTCTACCAGATTTAATTGTGATACTTGTACAGTATTTGATGAATCTCCTTCAACTTCTTGACTTTCAATTATCTAAAGTATATGTAAATTTAATATATTAATGTATAAAAAATAATTATAATATAAAATACTCCATATAATCTTACAATTCGAAATATTTTATGGCCATTAATCTGTTTATTCTTGTTATTTTCTTTTATCTTTTTGTTCTTAATTCCTTTTTCCATTATAGATAGCATATTATCTGAAGAATTTATTATTTCTTCCTTACAGTCAACAATTATTTGTTCATTATCATCTGAATATAATTGTAAATCAACTTGGTTCGTATTTAATAAATCATTTATTTTTTCATCACAAATTTCTAAATAAGATACCCTAAAAAATATACACATTACTTTAGGATGATTTTACAAATTATGATTTAAGTTTCTATCTATAATACAAACCTTAATAAAAATTCGCGTTTAATGATATTTGAAATAACATTGAATATGTAATTAATAGTAAGTGGAATTATTCCTGGATCCTCTGGGGTACCTATCATTGTATGTGTTTTACCTGAATTAAATTGACCATAACAAAATATTGTTCCATTAATACCATCTATGGTGCCATCAACAATAGATTTTATAATACTGTCAAATATTAGGGCATTGTTTGTATTTTCGTCAAAACAATAATCTATAAACAAGATATTAAAATTATTTGTATTTGGTAGTTTCTTAAATAAATATAGTGGATTTATATATATTAATTTTATTGCTTAATCAATCATTTTTTTTTTAATTAAAAATTTTACAGTAAAATAAAAACATAGGTTATAAAGAATACAATGCACATGACACTTACTATTACTTCTTTATATAAAATAAATATTAATTATTAGTGACTTGTAAAATGTAATATTTTATATAATATAATATACTGACAAACATCTGCTGATTGATTAATTGACAATTAAAGAAACTTTGAATATTAATTACTTAATTTACATAATTTTATAAGAGAAACAAGTAGGTTATATTTCGATGTAATTTCATTACAAAATATTATATTAATATTTTTGTATGTATATAAACAAAAAATCGGAACATCATTAAAATTGTTAACACATACCAAAATGAAATACATTGCTGTCCCATTTTTTTGTTTCTTGATGTAGAGAAATAATTGAATTTTCTTTCACGACCCATTGTATTGATAAATTTTCATCTTTTTCGCATTTAATCAAAGGACTTAATTTGATTCCCACCTTAACATTACTTGACATTTTTTGAAATAATATCTTGAACGAAGTAGCTTAAAATTTCTTATATATGGCCACTTCGCTCTTAAATTGTTTTGTACGTATTTCCACCCTCATCCAAAGCAGCTCGACAGATCGTAACTGTTATTTGAAATGACGATTGCTTCAACACATATTTAAATTTAAATTTAAGTTTTCTATGATACGATTGGTTCATTTAAGCATGCAATGCAAGAAGCAAGAACGTGATAAGACTAAGAATATTTGAATTTTATATGCTAAATATACAATTTAAAAATTATGTCTTGAAACTGTATATATATTTAATACACTACTTCATGCTTTCTTGATAGTTAATAGCAACGCTTTTGAGAGTAGAAATAATAGAAAAAATTAAGTTCTAAACAAATCATTATCTTTTTATGTAAGTATACATTAAACCAATAAAGCATATAAAGGAAAACTTAAAAGACAGGAGGTTATATATGTATTATTAATATTTGGTATTATTTGTATTTCTTGGTCTTCTAATTATTATTCATCAATTTAAATTTACGATTTCCTTTCTTATTTGTTTATCGATTCGATTCTATCGAATCTGTAAGAAATGATATCGATAGCGGTGTCTGCTACTGTTGTTGTTCCATAACATCCTGTTTGTAAAACAATAATTCATTGACATAAAAAGATATTTCTATATATACATTTTTAATTGTAATAGATTACTTTATAAATCTAATGTTACTAGTAATGTATGGTACTAGATATATTTTCTGGAAAAGCAATTTCTGGAAATTCACTTTATAGATGTTGAATAGGTTAGCACTCAATACAAAATATTTTCTAATATAATAGTTTAGGATACTCCTAAAATTTGTTATAAAAGCTTATAAGTTTAAAAAAGAAATCATTCCTTCTACATATTTTTATTTATTTTATTAAAAGAAATGAACAATATTAAAGGTTATTAATAATGCTTTTTATTCTTTTTAAACTTAAAAGTCTTGAGCATCATAATGGATCGTGGTAAAGCAGGAATTGGTAGGGGTGCAAAGAATAAGATTGCTCAGCATCCTTCTGATTTATTTGCACTTGGATCCAAAGGTTCACGTAATGAAAGTTCTGATGTTAAAAGGCCAGGTGTTATTCATTCTAAACCAAGTAGTAGTTCTTCAACTTCTGGTAAATAAAATGTTCTTAATATGTGCTTAGATAAAGATTTAAAGAAAATTAAACAAAACGTTTAATATAATTTGTTTATATGATATATGAAAAATTATATAGGCAATGATAGGAAAAAGGAAGCACCATCAGGATCTCTTCAATCTTTTCAATACATTCCACAAAAAAAACCTAAACTTGCAGCACATGTTCCTCATCAACGTCCACCATTCTCAAGTGCAGAAGCTTGGGAATTAGTAGCGATAGATAGTGATCCAGCAGATTTTGTTCCAATGGTTTTGGAAGCTAATGATAATGATGAAGGTGATAAAGTTATAGGTATTATTTGTGGCGCCATAAAAACACTCAAGAATCAGAAATGGAAACCTGATACATTAGTTTACATGGGATTATTATACTTAGCAAAAATTCGTCCCTCTATATTTTCAAATGATTGTATATTACATGCACTATCATCTTTGTTGAAACGAGATCAAGGACACAACTATAAAGCAAAAGGAAACCCATTAGTCCCAGTACTGGCAGCTAATTTATTAATGAAGGGATTTCATGATAAAAGAAATTGGCCAGAAATCTTTGTTAAGGTTGTTTATGAATATATTATGTTAATACTTATTTTGTTTGTATACAATACTTATTTTGGAATTAATTTTTATTGCCCTTTCTATAGCTATACATTGAGGATGCATTAGGTGAAAGAGTTTGGGTTGATCATGAAGAATGCAAAGGTTTTGTAGATAATATTTTAACAGGATTTAATACGCAGCATCCACCAAAAAGTGTTCTACAACCAGAGCTATCTGTTTTAACACCACGTGATTGTCACAGTCCATCTACAGTTGATGATGAAGATCCAGGATCTTCATCTGTACAATTTTCTGGGGATAAAGAAAAGATAGAATTTCCTATTACTCCCAGATATGCTCATTGTATAGAGAACATAGAATTCATTGTTCTTGAAGCTGTAAAAGAACAGTTGAACAGACGACAACCAGAGTCAATTACCAAAAATTTTCTAAAATTACTTTCCTCAGCTTGTGGTTTTGTAGAAATTAGGAATATTGCTGTTCCAAGATTAGAAATGTGGTTACACAACCCAAAATTAATGAGACCTGCCCAAGAATTACTGAGTTACATTTGTTACAATTGTACTTCTCATACACAAAGAGATGTTGAAGTTATAAGTCAATTAGTAAAAATGAGATTGAAAACTAAAGCTGTAATTAATCTATATCTAAACGGTGTAAAGGAATTAATTGGCTTACATCCTGAAAATTTATTCACTATTTTAAAACATACAATTTATAATGAATTATCTAATGCAAGAAATCCAAACAATATGCCAATGCTAGGTGTAATGTTTCAAACTTTATCTGAACAAGCTGCTAAGTTACTTGCAGAAATATTTCAGGATTTATTAATGAATCGTGAAGATTATCTTAGACCTTTACGTGCTTTGCTCCGAGAGATCGTACGTGTTTGTCGACACGATATTAATTTACTTACCTTTGCGCGTACGTTGATGTCCGAAAGACAGGATATAGCGCAACAATTGCTTAATTTTGAATTCAAGGAACGAGTCTTCATTTCAATTGCAGATTTATTGTGCTTATGTATGTTACTAGCTATCAGCCCACAAGTTAAAGAAGCCGCAGCATTGGCACAAAGAGGTGATAAAAAAGATATAGCTTTATTACATCAATTTCAGAATATGGTAGCAACAATACAATTTGAAGCCGTGTTATGGCTACAGAATTCGGCGCCACAGACATACGCCATTGGAAAGAATGAACTACTTCATGCTTTGCATAAAATTTTATTGCTTGAACCCCCAGAGCAGTATTATAAATTAGATAATTGGCCACCCGAATCTGATAGAGTATTTTATTTACGTCTCATTTCGGATGTTCCTTTATTACAAAATACATTGTTAAGACTATTACTGATTGGCTTTTCAAAAGTATGTATCAAAAGTAATCAATTTATTCATTTCTAGCATGTTTATTATATACAATAGTTTTAGTGTTTCATATTTTTTTTTTTCTTTTTAGGAAAATGGTATTAGTCATTCAGAAACGTTAGATTTAGTGGATCAGTTAATCAGACGAGCAGCGGCTAATTCTTCTGAAAGTTTTCCAACATTACAAGCTGATAAATTAGATATAATTGAACTTATTTTTAATCTATGCATTTATCAACCACCCGGAACTATAAATATACCATCAAAGTATTTACAAATTCTAATAATATTGTAAATTTCACAAATTTAGTAAAAATTTGCATTAATTACTTACTTTTTTTTTTGTATGTTTAGCTATGTACCACCTACTTTGGCGATATCGAATTTATATTGGAAGGGATGGATAATGTTATTAATATTAGCTGCTCATAATCCTTCTACTATTGGTGCTGTTGCATGGAAACGATATCCCATTTTACGAACTCTTATGGAAATGTGTATCACCAAGTATGTTTAAATTCTTTCATATCTTTACAATGGAAAGTACTTGTCATTTTCTTAGTAAATTTTTTTATTATTTGTAGCCATTTTTCTTATCCGCCACCAACTATGGCATTACCAGAAATTATAGAACAAGAACGTTCAAAAGAACTACAAGTTGAAGCTATTGAAAAACAAGAAATATTAGAATATGAATCGCACTTAGCTGCTGCATCAACAAGAATACAAATATCGGAACAAAACAGTTTACTATTATCACAATTAATGACTATGGAACCAACTGGTATTGCTAGAAGACCACCTCCAGCAGTATTAGAACAAATACAATCATTAAATGTATCTCATAGATTAGGTCATTTGCTTTGTCGATCTCGCAAACCAGATTTTTTATTAGATATAATACAGAGGCAACAACAAAGTTCGTCTCAAAGTATGCCATGGCTAGCAGATCTTGTACAAAATAGTGAAGGGTCTCTTAGTCAATTACCTGTACAATGTCTTTGCGAATTTTTATTATCTACTAGTGCTCAAGCTGTAGAGAAACAACCAAGACAACAACAATTATTAGCTCATCTTCAAATGTTATTAACTGATCCGGAACAGGATCGACAACATGCTTACGAAGTTTTAGAATACTTTTTAAGAAGACTGAGCAGTCAACAGACTGGCAGTCGCCTTCAAGCAATTACAGGTTTAAAAATGGTACTTGGATCTATACCTACTGAGGAAGAACCTATGGACATAGAAGGAGAGAGTGAAAAGTAATTAAATAATTTCATTTTGAATAATATTTATTCGAGATGAAAGTTAATATAAAATATTTGTTTTAGAGAGATCTGGCTTCTTCGTAAATTACCGTCTATACCTCATTTTTTATCAGTACGATCTTTGGTTTCTACTGCTCTACGAGGTGCATGTCAAGTTGAAAATAATCCAGATTTGGTTCACGCTTATATATCTTATCTCGCTGCGCATACCACAGACGATGATTTACCTGATTTAACTGATTTGGCTAATGAAATATCTCAATTAGTGGTTGAACGGAGTACAATTATAGCAGCTATTCTACCGCAACCAGAAATTGACAATTCTCAAGCTAAACAAACTTTACACGCATTTATGGTAATTTTCTGTAATTATTTAGAAAAGGCTCGATCTCCACGAGCAGAAGAATATACGTGGTCTGAGAGCCAAGATCAGATATTAGTACAATGGAGTACAGGAGAAGAATGTACTATGCATATTTTAGTTGTTCACGCTATGATAATCTTATTAACATACGATTCTGACGATGATGTGTTATTTGATGTTCTACTTGAAACTTGGTTTCCGTTAAATACAGAACCACCTAAAGCATTTCTCGTTGACACGAGTGAAGAAGCTTTACTTATACCAGATTGGTTAAAATTAAGAATGATTAGGAGTAGTGTACCACGTTTAATTGATGCGGCTCTTAAAGATTTAGAACCACAGCAATTAGTACTTTTTATTCAGAGCTTCGGTATTCCTGTACCTTCAATGACTAAATTATTGCATACACTAGATGCTGGTGTGCAAATTGATCCAAGTTCAGTTGGCGAGGCAGTACTCGATAAAACATATATGGCACAATTGGTTGAAGTCCAACACAGAAGAGGAGCAACGGGTGGACTAGTTTTTGTACAAGTTTTACAATTAATGGAGCCGCAATTACCTGATGAAAATGCGGTAACTATTGGACAATTGCAGGAACCTTTACCCCTGAGTGCTATGGTTCAAAAACAATCTGTTATTCAATCTTCTGTTAAAACAGATGTTCCACATTTAATCAATAGATTATTCATCGAAAATATACCAATGAATCAAAAAGTGGATGCATACCGCCGACTGCATAAAACTTTAGCAAAAGACTTACAGAAATCTGCCAAAGAAAGCGGAGCCGTTGTATTAGCAATACAACACATATGTAGTGTATTAAGTTCAATGCAAGTTAAACAATTCTTAGCTTCGCTTGTTCATATGCCACAGTATTCTTGTACCCTAATGCGGGTAATATTATTGCCTTTGAAAAAATCATCTACTTCAAAACAAGTGGTCGAATTAGCTCGTAATATGTGTTTAAACTTAATACAGCTAATAGGTGATGTAAAAGCACCAGTTCTATCTATTTTAAGAGATTTTGCAAATGTGCAGTTAACTAAAACACCAAAAAGTATGGAATTAACAATGTTAATGCAAAATCGAGATCCAGGATCTATTTTGGAAAGCACAGATCCAGTAAATTTAGAAGCTGTTGGACGCAAATTATTAAACATTTGTCTTAAACAACAGAAAACCGATGTTCTTGTTGAAGCAATGGCAAGATTATTAGTAAACGATAGTAACGAAGGTATTTTAAAGCCACGAACTGGTTTATTAATTGATTGGTTAGCATCTGTAGAACCAGAATTAATTGGAACATGTCCTACTCTTCAAATGAGGCTTTTATTTGGGAAAACGAAAATACAAATGAAAGTTGATAATAATGTTATGAGCTCACATTCATTTAGACCTTACTTATTAACTTTATTAACACATAGAGCAAGTTGGGCAACTTTGTACAAATGTGTTGGACACTTATTAGATAAATGTGATGATGGGTAAGTGAAAAAGACTGTAAAAGTTTAAAAGCATATAAAGACAAAGTATTATTTTTGTAGGTATGATCCAACAGCTGTTTTAGATTTTTTATGGGCTTTAACTTGTAATCCAAAACTCTGGCAAGGCAGAGACAAATTTACACCAAAACATTATGTTCCAGAAAATATTTTACTTTTACATGAGAAACAATTATTAACACTTGTAGCCTATATAGTTGCAGAAGCTGTTATCATATATAATTGCCAAAATAGAAACGCCGCACTTGCTCGAATGGATTCTCGTCTAGATTTGTTATTACATTGTATTTCTACAGATGACCATTTAGTAGCTAGTGTTGTAAAGTATTTGGCTAAACACATGATAAATGACTCTGAGTATGTTAACTTCAATGTAGTATTATCATTTCTACTTAACAAGAATTTTCTACATGCTTTTATATTTTACTTCCAGCGTTGACTCTGATATGGTTCATCAGTTTTTGTTACATATGTACATGAAGATACCTAAAGTAATATGTTACCTGGACACATTTCAAACTAAGAAATTTGTTGGAGCAGCAAAAATTACAGAATGGACAGGTTCTGTGTTGGATTGTATGAGTCATTCTTTGTTAACTGTTTTAGCAGCAACACCGAGACAAAAGTCATGGAATTCCAGGTCTCAGGATTTCGAATTGTGTGCCCGAAAAATGGCTGCTGTACATCCTATTTTAGTGCTGCGACAACTTCCAATGTTAGCGTCATCACTAATGGGAAGATGCTATTTGGATTTTAGTCAATTTAGAGCAGGACATCATCTAAATCTTTTTGTACAAATAATGGGATTATTAGAGTTGTTACAACCACATTTGTTTAGTGAACAACATCAAACTGCTTTGGAAGATACATTAGAAAATTACTTTCAGTGCTTCCAAGTGTGTAAAAGAATATTTATGTATTATTAATACATATTAATAAAATTAAAGATCACTAATCCATTTCCTTTTTAGAATTATGGCCCAATAAAAGATCTTATACCACTCTTAAATAGACTTATTACATTGCTACAAGCATACATTTCTTATGATCCACAAAGAGCAATGAAATATTTGCAGAAACATGCTCAAGCTCTACAGTAAGTAATAATTTTGATCACTTCTAATAGATTTCAGATCTCAGCTTACACTTACATATAGTGAATTGCAGATACACTATCCAAATTTAATTACATTGAGAACGCTTGTATCAGGCATTCCAGTACCTAGGGAAGGAGAAGATGTAGAAGAAATTTTAATTACTATTCCTCCTACTCCACCTCCTTCAGAATCCATTATCCCTCAACATTGGCCATCATTGCTAACTACATTATCTAAACTACAAGGTGAAGGTATGTTTAGAAAACATGCTTTGATTTCAGTCAAAATCCTGTTGTAATATCGGAATTTATAAATCTTAATATGACATATTAGATGTATTTAGTGCACTTCAAGAAATTGAACACTTATCATCACGAAAACCCTCGGTTTTGGAATCTATAACAGATAATATAGCGGAATTACTTATATCGCCACAAAGTAATATAAGGTCTCTTGCTCACACATTATTAGCACGAGCGTTAAAACATCGTCCTGCATCAAACGCAAATATTTTATCTGCATTTCAAAGGTGTCTTGACAGTTCTAGAGCCGATATTTTAATGTCGGCTTTAGAAAAGTTACCAGAAATTGTGTTATGTATGCAAGGTATATTATTATCTTTAGTTTATTCTAATATCTGTTTTTATAATATGTACCACAATTGTAAAAAGTTATATTTTTTATAGAACACGCTTTACCATTGATGCAGAAAGTATTTGAATTAGGAGTAAATTCAAATGTGAATACTATACCATATATTAATAAAACCATTGCTCTGTTAAATACACAGCAAGGTTGTTAATATCATAAAAACTGTAATTTTATATTTTGTATAAAACGAAATAAAATTTTTTTATAAAAAGACTGTTATTGCACTTATTTTATTTTTTCTATACCATAATACATATTTTTGAATAACATTAATAAAATTACTGTATGAAATTGCAAAGAAAATTTGTGCTTATAAGATAATATTAATTTAATATTATATATGAATATAAATTTATAGTTACAATTACAAGCATTTCTTATTTTAATACAGGTATTTATATGAATAACGACATTTATATACACACAAATATACAACAAACTACAAAATACATGTGTCATAGAAAGGCTTCAGGTGGTACATTGTTAACTGTATACATATTCATAAATGTTGTTATAGCAGTCCTAATATCCCAATTGGCATCTTCAAGATACTGATGACAAAATTTCATGTTCATTGTAGTCAGTTCACGTAAAAATGTAAGTAATTGTTCTTTTTCAGAAACACTAAACACAGTTGGAATGAACTTTGGAGCACCTTTTGATTCAAATTTTATTTCATTGTTACCTGATAAATTACCATTAGCAGGTGTTCCATCAAGGTAACATTGATCATTAGTAATGCAATATTCATTATCTTCTTTCTTCATAATTATAAAGGTTCTGTTGAAAAACATTGGAGGACATTGGTGAATATCTCTAAATGAGAACATTCCTTGCACAGAAATTCCAAGATGGATCTCTCCTTCATATAATAAATCTACATGAAATGATTTAAAATGATGCGTTGTAGGTGGTTGATTTCTGAGTGTAGAAATGATTTTTTCTGGACCACGTAATAAAAACTCTTGACATTTAGCATAATCTACAAATTTAAGTAAATTTCTATTTGTAACAAACGTTTTAGTTAATTGTTTATGAACATAATTTGAAACAGGTCCTAGAGTCATAGAATAAAGTGCATCTCTATCATATAAGCCATTCATCACTTGCCTATCATCTTGATCATATAATATAAAATAATGCTTCACAAATTGTTTGATTAAACAAGTGTTTGTACCATCTCTTAGAAAATTATTTTGTATATTAGGAACAAATTTTTGTTCCATGCCTATTACAATCCCATCCAATTTTTGTAAATGAGGAAAAACATTTTTTACTGCTTGTACATAATCTTGACACTTGTTGTATTTTGTGCACAATGGATTTCCATCCAACCAAAGTTCACTTATTTTAAATTCACTGAAGTAGCGTAAGTATTCCACATCTGCAATTTGATTATGCCGTAAATCTAATTTGGTTAAATGATAATTAAAAAACTTCTCAAAAAAGATAATTCCTGTAATTTGATTATATCTTAGACTTAATTCTCTCACAGGTAAACGTGATTCACGATTGTTGCTCAGAATTCCCATTTTAGTACACCTTAAAACAAAGTGTAATACTTTAGGTAAAGATATGGGACAATATAGAGAATTTAATAATTTCTCATTTTCAAAGTCATCAAGATTCAATACTTTTTTTGTGGGTTCATATCTATAATAAAGTGCTTGTGCTATAATTCTATTAGGATTCAATTGTAAACTCTGAGAATCTGTATATCCTAATATAATATCAATGTGTAATTCTTGTCCATTTGATAATGTCACACATAAACCTTGCTTTACAAGATTTTCAATAGCACTTGAGCTACATTTTGTCAAAAAAGTACTTTTGTTGAAACTTTCTTCTTTGTACATAATAGGCAATATAATTTCAGGATCACAAGCAACAATAATAGTTTTTAACACCTCTGTTGCTTTGTATTGTCTTACACCAAACAAAATGAATTTATGCCATAAATCTTGACGTGATGCTAATGTTGATTCTTGAGTATTAAATGATGGTTTAATATGTGTCAGTCGTAATGGTTCCCAAATTGCCATATTTTCAATCACTTCCATATTTGCCATTGTTCTTAATAATACATATAATATTAATTTACAAAATTTATATGTTCATAAAAATGTACAATGATATTAAAATTAATAAAATATAAAATTGATCATACGTATATATAAGATTTAATTATACATAGTTTTAGAATACAAAAAACTAAGTATAATAAAATAATCCTATGTAATTAGTACATAAATATTTTTCTTATACATTTGTTCAGACCTAAAATAAATTGCTTACACAAATTACTCCATACAAGAAAAATTACATTATAGGAAAACATTACTAATTTAACAACTTGTATTCGATATTAAAATTATTAAGTTCATATTAAATTTCTTCTTTGATTGTGAAAACATATCTGACTAGATAAATTTTTTGATCACTGTATTTTTCTTATACGAAACAATTTATCAAAATTATATACATTTTTTAAAGATACTTTTAGTATATAAAAGCAAACAAGCATTTTCTGAAAACTTTAATTTTTGAGGTTTAAACATTTTATTTATGAAAAATGTTTTTACATTAGTTTTATAGAAAAATTTGTGTTTTTTATATTAACTTTAAACTTGTATTTATTGCGTCTACAATTTAATAATAAATATTTATTTAGAAATCAACAAAAATTTAATTGTAATAGATAGATAATATATATTCTAAGGGTTAATTTAAGTTTAAAGAATTATACACATTAAATATTTTCAGATGGCAGCACAGTATGATTTACAGATGGGTTGGGCGTTGGGAATGCAAGTATTTAATTTCGGGTATTGTGAAAATTTGTTAAATATAAACTGAATCTCTTTTTTACTTACGATTGTTGCACTCAGCTGAACGACAAAATGATAAAACGATTGCATTTATTTTTAGTTTCTTTATACTTTGTATGGCAAGGTAAATCTTAACGATTTGTAAAATTACATGTGCATGTTTATTTATTATGTATTGACAAAATTCTACTTGGTAATAAATTGTTTATTCACTTACTTACTTAAATAATTTTATTTAACATTTCTTAAATTAAAAAGTACAATTAATAGAAAATGTATTATTCAATATTTTTTTAAGATTATATAATTAATTTTACAATTTTTAATATATTTCACAATGTACAAACATAATTTCATATTCCTTTAATATATGTGTCTTTCAGTTGCATATTGTGCTCAAGAATTAAGTCCTTGTCAAATTCCATTAGTCATAAGAGGAACTTGGTTTTCTTGGGAAAATGGAAGAAATACATTAACAGAAATAAATGCTGAAACAATGACTGAACGTGGCAAGTGTGTTAGTATGTTGGAAGAATATCATGTTAATTACACATTTGTATTCCAAAATGAAGCATGCTATCACTGTGTTAAATTAATTGTTAGGACTGTAAATGTATTGCAAAAACTTGAAGGTAAAATAGTTATGACAAATTTATAAAAATTGATAAAATGTATGTAACATAAACTAGTGTCATTACTCTTATACTTTAGCATACTGTGTAAACTTGCCAAATGGTGTTCGACCAACAGTGGAAAATGTATGTAAAGGGTTACGACCTGATCAACAGTTAATAACATTATTTTTGGAGAATTATGTTCCTATAAATTGTAGGTCATCTCTTGAAGGTGTTTGGCAATTTGCTTATCAGGTTTTTATATTTACAAACGTTTAAGAATATATGTAACAAAGTAATTAACTATATATAAAGTAATTTATTTTATTTTATTATTATAGAATCGATTCAGATTTACAGGAGAATGTAATCACCCAGATGCACAAATTAGATCATGCCAAACTGCAGGAACACAATTTTTGATAACTAATCAAAAATTCAATATAACATATAAACAGTGTGTTGGTATGAAGGAAACTTTTGATGGAGGTAATGTTATTTGATAAGGTCTTTATTAGAAGTCATACAGTCTTTTGTTTTAATGCTTTCTTATTATATTATTTTAGTGGTAGAATATAGCTGTTTAGGAGATTGGTTTGTTGATAAAAATCATTTTTTCGCTGTTGCAAATACGAAAGAATCCAGAAAAGATGAAAAATATCGATGTTTTCTAAAAAATCGTGATGATGATCTTTTTATTGGTGTATCTATAACTGCAGAATGTAATACATTAAAGACAGTTGAAAGAAGTCCAGAACGTTTAAGAGTAACACCTGTTAAAGCAGAAGTGATAGAGGCAGGATGCAGATTACCAGAAGATATGAGTGGACAATGGATAAATACTGCTAATATTGATGCAGATATTTTCATTAATGAAACACACATAATTGAAACTTGGTATCCTGATGAAGGTCGTTATAGACGTACGATTTACGTTTGTCGTGAATCAAGAGAGACTAGAGTAATGATGGCTAGATTAACTGTTGATGGATGGTATAAAAATTTTATATAATTAGTAAACATTATACTTCAGTAATTAATTGACATTTATTTTTAGCCAAAAAGATTATGTCTGTTTTGATTTCGTACCTCGACATCATAATGTTATTAGATATCGACGTGGTATTGCAGTTATTAAAGACGATTTTCATACTGTTTGCTCTTGGGTTCAGTTTCCTAATAAGGAAGATTGGAAATACGATTTATTCTTAGGTCAGTGCAACATATTTTTTCGTATATTTAAAATATTTAAATAAATTTTTGTATGAATATTTATTATGCTTTTAGCTAAGAATCCTGTACCAGTACGCTGTCCAGTAGCTGGAAAGTATATGTTCACTCAAAAAGGAGATGTTTTATTTGAAACTAGAATTTTAGGAGGTGTTACTTTATCTCCACGTCCTAATATTTATTGTAAACAAAATATTTCAGATTTCTCTGTATGCGATACTGATCAAAAAGAAATTGCTATAGATGAAACCTATTGTTTATCAGTAGATCATTTAGGAAGACCTGTAGACATTTACAGTAAGTCTAAATTGTTACACCGAAATTAAATAAAGGGCTACATCTTTTCTTTTTCTAAATATATAGGTCTTCCGGACTATAAAATGAAATGTATTGGATTTTGGAAAGAAAATTTAAAGTCGTATTTAATAACCTACGATGAGCTAGATCCTTTCAGCAAATATCGTTGCTGGGTATATCAAAGAGCAGATTTAAATAAAGTTCTCATGTCTCAAGCTATTGGACCATTTTGTGATCTTAAACAAGATGTTACAAGTAGTAATTATACTGAAGGTGCTGCAGTTGCAGTAGAATTACAGGTAATATAAAATGCCTTTATAAACTCATTTATTGCATTAAATATAATTCTATACATATTTTATAATTAATATAATCTTATAATTTAGGAATATGAAAGAGAACGAGATCAATGTCCAATGTATTTCGACGACGGAAGTAATCCTTGGCTTATAACTGAGAATTATATAAAAGTATTCCATTATGGTAGTAGAAGTACAAGAATTTCGTTTTCATGTTCATTCCTATTTTTAATAATTGGAATACTTTATATACCTTTAATTGAAACATAGTACATTAATATGTTTTATCATGAAAATTCATTTTATTCAAAGATACTAGCAAAGATATTAAGAAATTAGCAAAGATACTAGACTTACTTTTTTAAATAATCTTATTTTTCACTCTTATATACATCAAATTCCATCCATTTTCTGTACATACAATTTATAAAATTTGTATAATTATACATTTATTGGATATATATTTACATAATATATATATTTATTATAGATTGTATATTATAAAGAATGTTTACCATACATTGTAATATAATGCTTTATTATTATATTACAATATTAACAGCATCATAAAATGTGCCTTTCTATATTTTAGTATTATATTTAAATATTCTTTTTGTATTACAGAAAAGACTAGCAATAATCCTTAGAATTCTATTCAATTTATTATTTTTTTTAAAGATCTGCAATTTAATTATATTTTTTTATAAATATTTGTAATAAAATATACATTTTTATGAGATTAAATGTTAATTTTATATCACATTTATGCTTACATTTTATATATAAGTATAAGATAAAGATTACATAAAAGATTTATTTTGTCCAGCTGACTTTTGGTATGTCAAAGTGTTCTGTTAAACTATCCAAATGTCTATTAAATTCTTCTACCCGTTGTTTATGTGTCATTGAGGCTTTTTGTTTTATTCGTTCTGTTTGCTATAAGTAATGGACAGATTGGTAAGATTACTTCGCAATTTGAGATCTTCAAGTAAATAACTACTTACCATTTTTTCTTGCATTTTTTGAAATGCAATTTCGGCTTTTGTCCGTTTGATTTCTGGTATTTTAGATTTTTCTTCTTCCGTAATTTTTGTCACTTCTACTAACTTTCTCTTTTTACCGTCCTTATTCTTTTTTCTATTATTAAATGAAAAATAATGTCATTAATAATAGTTTACAAGATTTTAAACATAAATACACAAATCTGAACTGACTGCTGTCAAGGTTAATATAATCAAACTTAACCTAAAAGTAAAGTTTGTCGCGTACGTACTTCTTACTCACGCTTTGATCATTTTTTAATTTTAGGAGTCCCTTTGCTACATGTGCATAGGGATCTTCGTCAGTTGTTGGTGGCATATTAATTTTTTGAATAAATATTTATTATTTAATATTGCTATTTTCAATTATAAGATATCACGACTTCGCGCTATACACCTCTATATAGCACAGCAAATGAACCTTCTAAAGGTAAATCGATTCTCGACAATATGCATCATCGATTGTGCTATGACGTCATGTGTGTCGACCAATAACATTTTCGTACCGAATAATTTTACATAGCTTAAAATCTCGTTACGGTTTTAAAAACATACAATACTTTATTGTTCATATATTTCAATGATAGAAATTTTTCTCAAAGGCAAGCTTCCATTTAAAAAAATGGATTACATCGTATTTATTTTTTTATATATATATGTATGTATATATGTGTACATATATATATATATATGCATATGTGTGTGTGTATATATACATAACACAATTGTTATATTTTAAGGATCATAATAAATTGGTATAGTGTTGTTAATAATTCTCCATTAATTATACAAGTTTACTTAGCATCATATTCGTGTACATATAGCAATCAATTGTTCATAATCTCTATGTTGTGATCTATTAATCTTAATTAAATAGTTTCAAAAATGTGTAATATATGTTAATTGATATTATTTTGCGCTTGTATTCGTACTAGCTACTGTCGTCTCTACATTAATCATTAAATGCTATTTTCTCTTGATGGATTTAAGTTAGAACAACAGCACTGTTACTTAAACTGATTATCTGAAAACACAATATAAAAAATTGTTACTTATTTCTAAGGTGCTTGCAGGATGTATGTGTCTTGTTATCATTTGCATGAGCATATTTGGTTTAAGCATAATTTCTTTGTTTTTTTTTTTCTTCATTAAATTTTCTATGAATTTTATATGAATAAACAAATAACAGCTAAAGCTTAGATTTAAAAAAATTGTCTACAATAATCAATCACTCAATCCAGAATAAAATCATTGCTGAACACTCCCTTGCACATTTGATCCCCATTCTATCAATATCTTGGGCTTTTCGATAAGAATGTGTAAGAACATAGAATTAGTTACACATATTAACGAACACCACTTCTAGAATGTGCTATAAGCCACTGCAATGTTATGTCAATATTGTCTTTCTCTTTACACGAAATGCTATAACAACAAATCTCACGATCTTGAATTGCTGATAAATTCCTGAAAATAATATTTTTGCAAGATATATTTATTACTTATTTATTTATTATTATTATTTCTTTTTTTAAATAATGAACATACATTCTTTCTATGAGTCCATTTTCATCGAGAGCATGAAGTATATCCCTTTTGTTACCAAGAACCAATACTGGTATGCCAGACAACTGAGGTTTATCTAATAAATTGTGTAACTCGTTGCGGCTTGCTTCTATCTTCTCAGAATCAGCTGCATCTACCATGTATACTATTGCATTTACGCCTCTACAGTATCTCTCCCACATAGATCTAAACCTTGGTTGACCTCCAATATCCCATACTTTTATAGTCACATTGCCTTTCGTTATTTTACGCATATTGAAACCAACAGTTGGAATCATATCTTCGCTGAATTGTCCTGACTGAAAACAGTATATTTTATGAAAATATAAATATTCATTTGATCATTAAACATAATGACACAACATAGCAACAAAAAAAAAATGTTTGAAAACAATAAACCTTTATCGTAGAAAAACAGATGTCTAATTTTTTTTATTGTTTATAATTTTAATCTACCTAAAATAAGAAAATAGACAATAATTGTGTTTGCTATTTAATAAAAATATTGCAAAAATATATTTATTAAGTTTTTTATATTAGGGCGGATGCAAGGTTTACATCAATGACGAAGTTATCTCGAATGAAATATAGAATCTAACCAAAACGATGCACGTTTTATTCTTTCATCATTGCGAATTGTAACGATTTAGCGATTAATAAATGTACAATAATTTAACAAAGGTATATTTTATTTAATAAGATCAAGAATAAGAATACTGATCGTTAAATCGTAACAACAAAAGTAAACTTTCGTACCGCTATAACATTTACGAAGGTGGTTTTTCCACTGTATTGTAAGCCAACAAGAGTTAGTTCCATCTCCTCTTTCCAAAAGAGGGATTTAATCCAATCCAAAATTCGATTGATGAGGGCCAACATTTTTTCGTCGATCGGAGGAAACTTAACTCCACCGGTAGAAAGTACACTTAAAGTACGCCGCTCACTGACTTTGACATGTAGTCATTTGCACTCAAGTACGACGTCAGTCCGTCAGCTCCAAAGGTATGTACCGCGCTAGTCAGTTACTGGCGCTGACTAATCGCGCGGCACCAGTGTTTATGATGCGTTACAAGATGCTGGATACGAATTTATCTTACGAATGCGAATATATCTTGCACACTAAACACGCTTATCGTGGGTCGTAGCGAATAGTAGTCGAGCGATCTTGACAGTTCGGGCATTGACGTGCAGCAGAAGACGTTGCAGCGATTCTCAACTTGATGTTACTCACGCTTTGATATTTCACTAAATTAATAATTCACTGATCAGAACACATTGGCGACCTCTGTTCAGTTTTTCAACAAGTAGTAATGGTTTATTGCATGTATGTGCATTGTTACGTATAGAACTTTATATCAGTTAGAGAAAAAGCTTTCTCTATAATATGGGAGTAGTTTAGGAAACGTAATATAGATGCAAATTTAAGTTTGTGTAATATTTTTTATGCAATTAAAATATTAATTTTATAAGAATATATAAATGTATTTATTCAATTCTGTAACACCTATTGTTTATATTGTTGGTGAAAATTTATTTTATTACTTGTATAAAGTCATAAGAAATAACAAAATATCACCACGTTAGGACAAAAATGACAGTTATCGTACACATACAAAGCGGTCGTAGTAGTTCATTTTGCGACAGTTTCACGTTGCTATGTAACTATATCGTATATGGCGCTGATGGTTCTCAATCTTCAGTTTAATTTACGAACATCAAATTTATTTTGTTTTGTCGATATTCTCTTAACGGTTATTTCTAACTGTTATTAATCTTTTATGTATAAATACGAGGTAACTACCATTGATGTTATAAGTTATGATTTTATTCGTTAGATTATTGTTCCTAGACAGTTAACGTCATGTAAATATTGCAAATATGGATTGAGAACTATTGCTTAAGTGACAGAAAATTATGAATGCGTCGCATACTTGTACTAACGTGTAAATGCACGTTAAACGGAAATTATTATTCTTTTTTTTTTTTATCTGATAGACCACATAATATTTGTATCAATTTGTGTTTTATAAATTCACAATTTTTAATTTTTTTACTCGATTGTTTTATGCACCACTGACCTACGAGACTATTAATTAGCTATCTAGTGATTACGAAGAGATTATTATATCCTCTCCTTATCTATATGTATGAGAAAAAAAAAAGGTACAACAAAATTAAATCCATGTTGTATAAATAGGATTATTACTTTCAATTATACATAATTCGAAGGGTAGACCTGAGTTTTGAAGATGCTACGTTTATCGCTATTTACGTTTAATTTCTCACTTAATATTTGTTAATTATTTCTATCTACACATGTATGTATGTCGCATTTCATCATTAGATTACAAATTTAAGATCAAGGTTGTAAATAAAATATAAACAATTTTCTTTATTTTTCACAGAAAGGTTAATTGCGTGAATACGTGTTAGATTTTAGTCAATAAATTTTCCTGTCAAATTATAATATCGTTGATAAAAGAAAAAAGTATTCGGAATGTTCTCGAATTTTTTGATCAAAAGAATCCGGTAACGTACGAGATTTTGCGCTTTATGCCACATTATAGAAGCATTTGCAATGAAGGTTTCAATGTTTTACTAACAGAAATTATATTGTCGTCTTTTTTTTTTTTTTTGTTTTTTTTTTTTCTAAAGAGAATAATGACTTGAGAAATTGTCCTTATTTCCGCTTAACTCTTCTACAAGTGTTATGTACATAGCCGCGATTATAAAACAATTATTAGTTTTGATGATCTTTTTTTTCACGCTTTTTTCCATCAACTTTTTATTCGTAATACCTAAATGTGAATTCATATATAAATTATCATTATGCGCACGTTAATTCACGTTACCTGCCTTCAAGATTCTTTCTTTTTCTCCTACATCTCATTCTGATATTTCTCGTGTGGCACAATGAGTGTTATTTCGATTTTCTTTTTTCTCTCCTTTCCTTATGACAGTACAAAACTATCCTATCTATATACAGGGTGTACGAAACGTGCAAAGCGAACGAAACACAAAGTGGACATTTTGTGCAAACCAGTCATATCATCATACTACCCGATTATGTCTGTGGTACAAAGTTCGGGAACCGTATCTTAATTGCTGTTATTCTATGGATACACGATGAATCTCTCAACATACAAACGTCTGAAGTTCTCTTTTAGAAAGTATGAGCAAGTATCGATATGAACGTTGCATCGTGCAAGTACGCGAGGCACGCAAAATTTCGTAGTCAGAAAACATTGGGTTATACGATACACGAATGATCTCTTCCATTACAAGTCTCTTGGATCACAAGCAATCGCTTAGAAAAATAGAAGTATGTGTTAGAATAAATTTGTGCGGAATTCGGGAACTTGATTTTTATGCTAGAAAATATAAACATTCGTAGATTTTCTTAGTTCTAACAATAACTTCAACAACAATGATGTTGGAAAATTTGATCAACAATTTAAACCTACATAATTTCGCGATTTACGTATAAAACGATAAAAAATCCCTTGATTAATTCGGTTCGTTTGACGACACGTTCTGAATTGAAACCTTAATGTCTAGATCACAAGTGATACGACGAAATATTTTGGTAATCACAGCTTTAACATTAGTGACCGTGTTACAGAATGAAACGCGATCCCTAGCATTCGTTAATGGATTTTCGCCGATAGATCATGGCGCGCATTGTTGAGCTTCGAATGATCGTTGCGTGTAATTATCAGAACATTCTAGATATTAAGGCACATCAGTTTGCTCGCAAGGCACGGATGACGTTGCTCTCTTGTCCCTTCGAGGATTAAACGTTCGGTAATCGAAAAAGTGAGTTTCCTTAGCTTTGCGCGGCTTCGCGATACTTATAATATAGTCGGCATAAAAGCCAATCAGTGAAAAATCTTAAATATACAACATCGGTTATATACTCTCGATTAAATCGTTAAATCGTCCTCATCGTTGATTAGTAATCGATCTTACAGTTTAAACCATTAGTTTTATACATCTTTTCAATTTCTTCGCGTGTTTTCTTTTCTCTTTACAGTTCCAGCTGAATGGCTTTTGAGTCGAACATATCGAGTAGATGAAGTATTTTATGTACAATGCTGAATATGGTACACTGTGTGTACGGCTGCCGCGCAGATAAAGTACCTCTCAAAATCGAATATGCATGCCAGCGACTTATGCTTCAACGGAAAGTAATTCTTATGCATCGGTCTATGATGGAGATACGCTTTACGCACGGAAAGGAAAGATTCGAGAAGAATCATAAATATTTAAAAGTGTATTAATATGTTTCCAAACATATTACTACGCAATAACGAATTATAAAAATGGATTTTAAATCATAACGATCAAGAAAAGCGATCGGTGAACATTCGTAAAAATTTACGTTGCATCAATTGCCCTTCCATGTTGAATTCCTGTAATTGTTTTCACGCAATTTTTGCTAATTCTATATTGGCTGAATCACCTAACGTTAGAATATAAAATTTCTCTTTTATCTTTAGTAATACGAGAAAGTGTCTCGGGTAGAAAATGCCTGACTATGGTATTGAGAATTCTCTTTATCGCGATACTAATCCTTTCGTATCAAATGCTTGTTTCTTTAATCATTTACTTTTGTATCATTAAGATTAATAGAGAAATTTTAGGTTGCAACGTTAGGTGTGTCACCTTGTATACAGGCGTGAATTTAAGCCCAGTTTCCGCAGCGTTTATGTAACCGTGAAACTTGGTATGAAAGTGCGTAGATTGTGTTCCATAGATCGGCTCAATTAAGGTCACGAGTTCTGGAATAAGTAATAAAGCATGAATTTTCTAACACCCGAGGGATCCTACTAAAATGCAAAGGAGATCTTCTCGAATTACATAATAAAATAACGGTCGATGGCATTGTTACATAATTTAATCCAAGACTCACCGTTAACTCTCTTATATAATTCCTTGTTTTTATATAATCTTAGAACCGCGCGTAAACCGATGAGTGTAAAAACATTTTGTGGGTTGCTATCGTTTTGGCGTGTTTGAAAATGATGTAAATCGGAAAATAGCTTTTAACAATGCTTATTCTAATAACAAAATTGGAAAATCAAATCGGGCAGTTTCACACATGCTAAGCAGGTGAGAGTTGTTTTTACCTACGGATTTAAAAGGCGCGTTGCGGAAACTCTGCAATTTCACCATGTTCAATAAAAAATAATTATTCCTCGATTACCTCGTTGTGTATCGTAATACGGCTACGAATTATCATGGGTGGTAATGCAATAATGACGATGCAAATTATACATTAAACTTTTTACGTAATTTTTCCTATATACCGGTTCCACCACGATCTTATCGCAACACCGATGCAAACAGTTTGGCATTCAACGTCCACGCAAAATACAATTGGATCAACGACGGCACAACAGTTTCTTGCTTTCTCGCGTACCATATCCGTCCAGAGGAAGGAGAGGGGAGATGATTCGATGACAGGTTACCTTGTCGGACGTGGCAGATGTACGTACAGCGAACCGAAGAAGGATCACGAATACCTGAATCGCGAGGCCAGGGATCCATGACATTGAGTCGCAACACATCCGGGAGTACCTCTGTACGTTACTTCGTATCACTCTTTTCCTCTCACTTTCTATCTCCTTTCACGAATACACGCTAACGCGATCGCAATACAGAGTAATTTTGTACTCAATGTTTTCTCCATTGGATCTCGAAGGATCATCGAACTGGAAGGATGAAGGAGCGAAGCCCGGATGCGACTCGAGGAATCGATGGGAAAAGACGAGACGAATTGATGATGGCTACGACGTAGCACGGTCGGGTCACTCGGTCGTCGTATACGATTTTCGAAGATTCAGCTCCGACGCAGCTAAGCTGTCGCCTTTCACATAATAATCGGCTGCGTCTCTTCTTCCGGACGGATTGCCGATTGCCCCGTTCGTCACGCCGTTCGCTTGATGATTCTGCTGATGATCCTTTTTCACTCCGTTTGCAACTGGCCTCCTCTTCTGTTGGTAGCTTTGCTGATAGAATTCGTTGAACAGGAAGAAGAACATGGTCGCGTGCAGACCGATCCACCAAACGAACGCCTTCGGGTAATTGCAGTTGATGAAGAGTAATTGGAACGCGTGGATCATCACCGCGACGAACTGAATCATTTGGAAGACGGTTAAATACTTTTTCCACCAGAGATACGGTTGGAATCTGGGACCCAGCGCGGCTAGCAAGTAGTACGTGTACATTACTATGTGGACGAACGTGTTTAGGAGTCCAAAGAAGGTAGAATGACCGCCTGAAAATTAATACAACGTAGTGATAAATCCACTAAAAAAGAAGGGAAAAATTTGTTACAGATATTTCCGACCCAGTGACGAAGAGATTTGACTTACCAGGTGTGAATTTAACACCAAACCACACCGACATCGGCATGCAACCATGGTGAATAACGTGCAATGTCGACACGTGATCGTTCTTCTTCCTTAATACGAAGAAGATCTGGAAAAATGGTAAATGGTAGAGAAATTTACGTAAACGGTATTATCCATTGGACATTGGAAACGTGTGATTCTAATACATTTTATTTAGTTCCAGTTACTTACCGTGTCCATAAATTCCGTAAATTTGGAGAAGTAATACCACCAACAAGCGTGCACCATCTGCGCTTTGGAAAATATCGATTAGGCAATCTCTTTAATGTTGCTTGCAATACGACGAATATGTTAAGAGAAACAAATCCTTGGAGGTACAGTGTTATCCGTGCAGAAATTACACATTTCAGCGAAGATTATACAACAACGGAAAGAATAAATGTCATTGTTTTTAACGGGATTACGGGACGCTCCAAAGATTTGCCTTTAGTAGATTTGCGTCGATGAACAGTCGTATTTTTTTCTTTTTATTGCGCATCGTTCCGTGTATGATGATATCGAGTGGTAAGCAGTAAGTAATGTAATTGTCGTCGTGTAAGTGATGTCAGTTTCAAATATTTGTTTTCTACTGATATCTGTTAAATGGCATTAATTGCATGAAGCGGTTGTTTCGAAGTGTGTTAGCTTGCTGAATTAACTACGATATTTTTAAGTACTACTGGAAATTTAGAGGCATGTAGGCAGGGACGTTAATGTTATGACAGAGTCAAGTAATATTCATAGAAAAGGAACAAGTACAAACGAAAATGTACAAATTTTCAATTGTTTTCAATGAATTTCATAAGAAAAAGAAAAGTTCGCAAAGACGATATTACGAGACATAATTGCGTTAAAAAGTAATTCGAATTTATCGATTTTGCACTGTTTTCATTCGTTCGAATCGGAATTTTGTTAAATTTGTTGTACCTTCGATAGAAACTTTATAATTGAATGGTGTAATGACTTAGTATTTGACTTAGTGTAACGTTTGCGTGTTAATGGGGAATATCACCCACCCTTAGTACTTGGGGTCGATCACTGTAGTCTACGGGTTGGCACCTTAGAGAATAGTCGCCAGTCAGCCATCCGGACATTCCTATCTGCAACCACAACCGCCCAGAGGCCATTCTCCGATCAATGAAAAGAATAAATAAACGAAAGAGAAAGGCATAGAAAAGAAAGGAGCACGAGCATGTGTATATTCTAAAAGAACAATTAATCGTAGCAATGCTTGGATAATAATTGGACACATGCATGTTAATGAAGGCCGAGCAGGGATGCGTTTTCGTCTTGCACGTCCTCCATGCGCTGCATCACCGAATTCTTACCTATTTCAATATCCGTCATTCTTTTCCCACAGACTTTCCGCGGAAAGAAGGAAATTTACGTAGGTTACAAAGCTCACGAACCGTTATTCAACTTGTCAACCGACTTCTTCGCGATATCGTCCGATTCAGCGGCAGAGAAGTTGGTCAAAGTCTCGGATTTGCATGCAAGCATTCCAGAGTATAATCAGCATAGAAATACGGGCTATAGTTGATACAATAAAAGAAACAAGCAAATATAGAGATACGGAGTACGTATAAAAGAAGCCATAAGCGCTAAAGTATACTCCTCTCATACAGGCGGTTCCTTCCCCTGGTTGACTGGCTACGAAGCATAAGATAATTCGCATCATAGCACAACTCTTCAATTTCTACGATCTAAACGGCTTTGAAAACGTGAAAGGTTCTTCTATCGTCGTCATATGCATATACGTAATCGCGCAATATGGTCCGTCAAAGAAATTCAAGGACTGCTATCGAGCAACGGATCGACGGCGATTACTATAAATCGTACTCGTACGTATACGCATATAGAGATCATTGAACAATCAAATTTGGCATTCGTTGAGGTCCGTCTCGTTGAAATGGCGGTCGATGATCCATCTGCAGAGGAAACTGCGAATAACAAAACTTACCCTTAACGCGGTTGGGTTGTTGCTATAGTCCACTGGCTGGCAACGGAAACTATACTGGCCCCACCATCCGCCCATCAGACTCTGTTTTTTCGTTTGAAAATTAATCTTTTATCCTACGCCTTTTACCGTATTAATTGGAAGTTGAATCTATCGAGTTCGAAATACGTTTCATCGAAATTGATCGAGGTCCTCGGATCCCCCGAACGTCGTAGGAATCACGCTAGTCTCCCGAGGTATCCTCCCGAAGCGAAGCTAATTTCAAGATTAAATCGAGTGAACGAGTGGATAGCGTTGCAGGCTGGAACGCACAACCCTCTGCAGCAGTGGCGAATTGGAAAAAAGGTCACGTAAGAGTTTATAGACTCGATCGTTTCGCTAATACTAATTAACCAGCGCCATTGATACTGGTCACACGCGATTTCAAACTCGATGATTTGTCCGGACGTTCGATGTTTTCGCAGAAATCGTCTAGTTAATTAGACAGAAGTCGTTTATCGTTTAGTTCACGATTCCCTGTTAGGCATACGTCCGGTGTACGAGCGACGTTTCGTTTTCCAGCAACGATGAAATGCCGTATTAGATTCTTGCATGCAACGGACGGATTTTCGAATCGGTGAAAATCGTTCGGACAACGCGAAACATACACACCAGGTTAGGTGGAGGATAAAACAGAGAAAAGAGGGAAAGACGAAGCGGGACACGCGATCGAAGCGAATTGGACGTTACCTCGTAGAACAGCCACGCGGAGAACATCATTTGGAATAAATTATAGGCTATCAGGGCGTTCTTCAGTTGAAAGGGCTTCCTATTCTCCATCACCTTTGGCCCCAGAACCTTTACTGCGTATACGTAGCTCAAGCAGATGAACAGAGTGGGGAACGGCGAACTCATCATAAACCAGTTCGTTGTCCTCTGATCTGGAAAAGAGATTGCAAGAGCAGAATTCAGTGGAGAATTTGTAAGCAAAAAGAGGTAATCTGCAGACGAGGTTGCTGAGGTAGACCTGGCATTCGGCTGCTCGCAGCTGATATCTCGTGTCCCGATGCATTAACGTAGCCGGCATAGCGACAGTAAAAGTATAACAGCCTCGACCTTGAGATTTCTTCACGCGATATCCTTCTATACCTTTCTTGCCCTTCAAAAGTTCAATCAACTATCGCGTCACCGTATCAAAACCAGTTGTAAAGTCCGTTTCATTAACTAGTCCCTTGACGGTTTTAATGGCCGACCTTGCTTGGCGCGGTTTCATCCTGCTCTTTTATGGCTGTCGTGAAACACGGGAAGGAGAAGGAATCGAAAATTAAGCGCCACAGCGAGGTCGACCATGATCGAGCGAGATCTTTCGACGGATGTAGAAATATATAGAATTCGAGGCCGACTGACGGATCGAAAAATTTCATATTTGCGCGTTTGCGTGCCGCAGAAGTTGAAAAATCTTCCTCGAAACCGGCGGCTGCTTCTGCTGGCTACGTGAAATGAATAATTCATTCTCGATGCACCTACCGCTGCATCGCGACGAATGACGTTTGCTTAACCATAATGAAATTCTACGTAACTCTATCCTTCCTCTCTGTCTGTGCGCTCGTCGAAATCTCCGATTCCGTGATTCCATCTGTCCCAGCGAACGGTCATCCGGACGCTCGATCGTGAACGGAAAACATTTTCATTTCATCTTCGGGACTTTCCGTTTTTCCGAAAATATTCTTCGAACATAAGGCAAAGGCAGGGAATACCTTCGGGTGCTGTACGCCATGTACACCGTGTCGACGTTGGAAATAAATACAGGTTACAGGTGGTACACGTAGGTTTCTCCTTTACCTTTAGAAAAGCGCTGCCAAGTCGACGAGCTGTGTGGGGAGAAACGATGCTTGGAATTCTGGAATTACCTATCACCGATCTTTTGCAACGTTAAGTCCGTATAAAATCCAGTTTCGTTGGCTACACACCGAGAGAGTCCACAGTGCGAAACGAACTGACCTGCCATGTTAATTCACAGCCACTCTAATTCAGAGCCACTTTAATTCGCTGTTTCCAGTTTCAGAACGACGGAGAGCTCTTGGTCCAAGGATACTCTGGATTAGGATGCCGTGGACGAAAAAGGAACTCGAGTTCCACGAACCGAGTAGCGAAATCTAGAGATGCGTAACTCGGAAAGCGGCGAAAGTTGAACGACGTTATGAAAGAAGACTGGATTTTAGCTGTTAGAACCGGCGGCTCAGGGGATTCGTTTCATCATTCTGCGATTGAATTTTCATCCCGAGCTCTCTGTCTTTCTATTTTTCTACTTTTCCATCCACGATCGCTTGTCATCGATGCAAGTTCAGGGATAGCCCCGCAAATTTTATTCGCCATCTTCTTCCTCGGCCAGAATTTTACGCAAGGTCGTGCTTGCGTAATTTCGGTGAAATTTTCTATACAAGATCGCATTGCTGACTAAGATGGATAAATTCTTCGATACAAGCGTGACTTATACACGTATATTCTTCTCCAACGATTCTCTTGCAAGTTGCATTGTTGGTCGTGAAACAATTCTAATCTTTGCTTCAATTTGCGCATCGAGGTTACCGGTGTACAATGCGACTACGTCAGAGGACATGCACGTTTTACTCGTTTATCCTAACTTTTGTTTGGCTTTATCATTAACGTTAATACTTGAGCAGCTGCATCATCCGATGCACGGGGAATATTATTCGATTCACGAGAACAGCAAATATTACTTTGTAATTATACTCCGTGTGATACTATTTGCACACTTTTTGCATAACAATTTCGTCTCCTTTCTTACGAGCAAATATTGGCAAATGGCAATAGGATTATGGTAATTAAGCCTGCGATTTTATGCATTCTTCGTGCACTGTCTCTCGGTATTTCACTTTCGATCGTTTTCGTTCTAACCTGATTAACTTTGTAGCGATCATCATTCTCGCCCTCGCCACTAGATGGATTCCGCCTTCAAGGACTTTCCCGCAAGTCCTCGGGAAATTCCCAGTTTCCTATATACATAACTTCCCGTCTTTCCAATAGTATCCCCAGTGTGTCTAAGGCAAGGGCCTGCTAAGCAAGCCTTGCTAATGAGTCCGCTAGCAGGCCCGGAACGAAACGCATCCCTTCCTTTTCCTAACGTCCCTTCTAAATACGCCAACCACGGGGATACCTGCGACGAGCCGACTTCCAGCGATGGTGGGGGAAGGCCCCCACAACTTTAATGCATACTCTACGCAACCGCTATAATTCTTACTATAAAAGACGCCATTCGACATCGCGCTTACTTTTATCGGTTTTTAACATTTCCTTTTAATAGATCGTAATATTTTATCGTCCACCTGGCAGCGGCACGTTGGAAAATACTCGAGATGCTATTGCAAAATATTCATACACCGTAATAACTACGGTTCTGCATTTTAACGAACATTGATCTTTCATCTTTTACTGATTTCCAGTTAACTTCGTTTCGATAAAATTTCGTCGTTTTGATCGATTATGCCGTTTGTTTTCAGATGATCTCGCTTCTTCGGATGTACAGGTGACACCAGCCACGAATTTCGATCAGCTGCAGGAACTTGGCGCTTAGGCCAAGGCGAGAAGGACGAAAGCAGAGAGACGAGAATGGAATGGAGGGAGAAGGTTCGGTCTTTCCTGTGGCTGCTGAATAAATTCGCTTCCAGTCACCGGTCGACGATCGTCCCTGAGATATTTCTCAATGTTTAAGATTCGACCGCAAGGAATATGAAAAAAAAAATCGAGGGATCATAGGTCTGTTTGCGGGCATGCCACGCATTTGCAGGTCTCGTTGAAGGCTTACCTGCATTTTTGTCAAGTATCTCGTGGAGCCGGTCCACGTACTGCATTACAATCGACATTTTTCTTGCTTCTTGTCGAGGGAACCTTTGCGAGATATCCTTCTGCGGTTGGAATCAAGGGCACAGATTTTCACGATAAGATCCGTGAGTTCCTGCAACGATAAAAGAAGAAAGGGTCACTGACAGTCGCGGTCCAGAAGAAGGTCAGTTTGGAAAGTAAATTGACACAAGAACGCAGAAGGTCGTCCTTGGATACAGATATGCTCTTTATTCTACTTGAGAGAGTTCTCAGAAAGGATATGCATCCATTTTCGCGTTAAACACGCGTAAAGATAATCCTCGATTGCTATGCTATCTCTATAGAGAGATCTTTCAGTACGTGTCAACGAGTTAACATGTATATTATCATTTTAGGGACGTCTGTGCACGGTTAAATGCTCGACATCGTAGCGACTTAACGTCGAACGTGAGAGACAGCGGAAGAAAAGGCGGGAAAGATTCGAAGATTTGAACTTGGCGCGCATATTCAGCTGATTCACGAATGGCGGTTTCCAACGAAGTTCTTTTGTTCCACGCGTGAACGAGGGCGTGTTACTTAACGTCGTTGTGGAGGTTGACCGGTTACATAAAATGTTGTCGATTTGTGTCATGATTTTCGGCATCGGCATTGAATTAGAAGCGATTTCGCGCGCGCATGCGCGCGCACAACCAGGCTCGCGCCACGATCCGAAATTCACCGCGTACATTCTCGCTTACGAAAGTGGCCACATAATTTTTGTTATGGATTACACGCTACGATCTCGCGCAACTCATGGGCCGACCATGAATCGACACGGCCTTGAACTACTATGTCCACCATGCCTTCGTCATGTCCAATAACGACCGGTCGAATTTCACTGACGATCATAGTCCCTATGGCGATTAGTCTATACTTAGCGAATATGGTATATGCTTCAACCTCGAGCGACGTGTTTACTTTTGCAAATGGGATTCGATGGTTCATTGATTCTTTGAGGTTAGGAGTTCGAGGTTAATGAGATTTCTTCCTTGAAATTAGGAACGAAGCTGAAATGACTCGTGATTTCACGTTTGTTAGTTCATCAGAGTCACTCGCAAGAGAAATTTGAGGTTAATAAGAGTCTTTCCTCGAAACTGGAAACGAAATGGTCCCAACGATTGCGCGTCGAATGACGCGTGATTGGACGTTCGTTAATCCGCGCAAATTAGACGAAAAGCAAGTTCGAGGATAATAGGGCACTTTGTTCGAAGTTAGAAATGAACTGGTCTGGATGATTAAGCGTCGAGTGACGTAGGATTCGACGTTCGTTAGTTCGTCGAAGCTATTTCCTCGCTAACGATTCGGAGGGGACGGAAGGTGAGTGGTGCGAAGACATAATTGTTTCTATGCCGTGGGTGCCGAGTATGATTAATCACGTCCCTGAGACCCACTGGCCAGTGCCGTACCTACGCTCTCGTAGACTTGGGCGGTTTGGTAACCCGTTGAATTTCGCTTTCGATACAACTCGACCGATGAGAGAATTCTCGTCAAGGCCAATCGAGAACGGACTTGAATGGATGTCGTCATTTATCATCGGCCAGCCGGTCACCGATTTGCACACGGACGCGGAGTCTTCGAGCCTACCTTACCGTCCTGCCCTTCCTCCTCTTCTGGTTACAGGAAAAAACCCGAGATCGAGATCGTGTCACAAAACTGATAAATATTGACCGTGTCCAGCCAACACGTGTTTGTGGAACCTGTCGTATCGCGACTCGGATATAACAGATCTCTGTACAAGAGTTATTAGCAGCGAATATTTTTCAATTTCTTCGAGTTTTTCACTGGAACTCGTCTAAAAAGTCTGACTCGATAATACGATCGTCAATCAAAAGCGACTCGACGAAGACATCCGTCGAATTCTGCGAAACGCAGCGAGGGTAGTATCAGCGGAGTACACGGAACGATAAGGGGACTCGATTTTCGTGCGAAGTAGGATCGACCGATGATTCGTTAACTCCGCGATTGATCGCGATCGCGTGTCCCGATGGTTCGCGTCTGGTTCGCTTGCAAAACGAAAAGTCGAAAACGCGCCGAGCAAGCGAAATACCTCGCGAATATGTTGCGAAAACTGTATACATTATAATGGGCCGGGCGCAGAAAACGGGCCAGTGGCGACTCGGTGGCTGGTGGCTGGTGGCCTGTGGCTGATGACTCGCGGCAGCTCGGTGACTCGATGACTCCGTGGCACCGTGTCTCGGTGCGTACGTTACGCAAGGAATGGCTCGCTCGTGCCTGCGCTCGAAGCTGTGTCTCGACACTGGAATCGTCATTAACGATAGGATGAACAAACCACTGACCTCAATATCTGCGCCGACTAAATGTTTCGTTTCACTGGCAACAACCGCAACAAGCGGCGTACACTGTTGCAAATTAATGCACCGCGGTAACTCTATCGCGATTTGCATATACCGGGAGGGGTACTTGACCAATTTTTTCCCCAGCCTCACGAAGCGAAGATCGATCTTCGAGATGCGCGGCGATGGTAGCTAACGAGCCACGGATATAGCTGACGATTTCAGAGAGCAATGGATTTTCAAGTAGCCCGCCACGGGTAACAGGTTCCGATTGGCGATAAGATCGGCCGCGATTGTTTACGTCTGAGTTTACAACGCCCCTGCCGAGTGATACGAGCAACGACTTCCCCCTTGAGAACTGCACGAGCGTTCGATTCGAGCATTGGAATACGTGTCGGAAGCATCGAGTTTACGGAGCGATATTTACCAGGCCACAGCCTTTTCGACAGCATCGTGGAATCACGTTGTATAAATGATCGATACGGCACAGGTATTGTGACACCGTTACAATGTAATTACACAATCACACGTGACCCATCGTAGTTAATTGCTGAAAGGTGTTGGATCGCGTCAAGGTTGGGAGCCGTAGATAAGTAAAAGGCGGAGTGGCATACGAAAAGTTTACACGGTGCCATCCTGTGACCGAATAAATCGAAAGAAATACAGTTCTGTTTATTCCTGGAAGGAAGATTCGCAACATACCGCATCCGCATGTGTGAACTCGCCGACGGTCCTGCGACGCGTTTTCCTGAACACTTATACGACAAGTACGACACGAGAGGTTCGCTTCCCTTGCTTCCTTATCTTCCAACATCAAGAGCTTTCCGTGTAACAACTTTGTCATTCATTTTTTATTCGCCGACTTTTTTACTCTTCACCGATTTCTGAACTTTGTACGATACCTTATCTGTAACCTCTACTTCCTCACTCCGTTATCACCGCGCAAGATATCTATTAACGGTATGAACGGGCGTGCAATAAAATGCTATAATGTCTTCCGCGAAATAGATACGATAGTACACTGTCCGCGATAATCGAGATCTTAATCGTTCAAGCCGGTCAGAGATTTCGAATAGTCTGTTTTCCGAGGGAATTCGTTAAAACACTAGCAGTTAGAGATCACGAAGATATAATGAAAGAAGAAAGAAGGATCACCTTAGAGATTCGCCGTGTTCCACGTGGTGTTACGTAAAATACGATCTATTTGCAATTCGAATGAGGGATAATATATGTCGAGAAATAAACTAACATTTCTCCTTAGGGAGCCTAGTTTCATGTTTCGATCGTGGTGGAAACAAAATAACGAGAATATCGTTCACGCGTGTATTCAATGTTCCCGAGAACCGTTGCCATGAGAAATTTACGGGAAAACGCCACTCGGTGCAGACTTCGCGAAAAACTGACTTTCACGTTCGAGTCTAGTTCATGACAGAAACTATCCGATTCGCGTTTCTCAGAAGCTTTCGAGCCCGACTATGAGATCACGACTTATACCGCCCAGTGACACAATCTGTATTTATAACAGCAAGTAATTCACGATACGGCCAGAAGGTAATTATATTACGTACAGGATTATGGGCGGATGCTAAAGTGACGAAAGCGTCGCGATCGGCCGTTTAACCGACTCCTAGGCCGGTGTGTATACGTGTGAGTCACGAGATTCGACCGAAACTGTAGTCACCGAGTGATCACGGCCTATGGTTTAGGCAATCAAATCGAAAAGAAGTTCCCAACGCGTCCTCTGTCGTCGAAGACGCAGACGAATCTCGAACGTCGGGGTTTCTAAAATATGACTTTATTACCGCGATAGTGAGAGAGTTTGTAGAGATTGCACGATAACGATCGTACGGCACGTCTTTGTTTAACTGAAATCGCAGCCAGCGCGTCTATTTGCCACCGGGCGATATCTAAGTATACAGCCAACTTGCTCGGAGATTAACGAAACGAAGGAAGGATCATTGAAGTGGAACGTTGTTTGCGTCGGAATCGATACTCCTTACCAAATACGTGAAATTGCGACATAGCTACACGAGAAATCTGTAATTGGCATTATACAATACCGACGTGTTAATAACACGAAAGAACCGCGCCGTGGCACTTTGAAATTTAACGGCGAATCTGGTGTACTCTGGTGAGGGAAAAACAAATCTCCGCGCGGCAAATCACAATCAAGTTTGCCGCTCATCAAGCGAGAGGTTAAAATCATAATTTCCGATATTAATTCAATGGACCATTTATCACATTAAACGTCGCGATTCGTGCAGAAAGTGTGTTGTAATGAGAAAGGTCAACCCGAATTAAATTAAATTCCATGCCGCTCGAAAAGCAAGACAGTCGCGAGGTTAGGCCAGCTACGGAGTCCTGTCTAACCGGTTCTAACGCTCGCAGCCGGGATGTGTGAAATCCGGCCAACGCGTAGAGCCCCGTGAATCGTCGAAATTTGCGAAACGTTAATCCGAGAGGACAGACTTTGGAATAGTTGGAGGTCTCTGAACCTCCACTGGAACATATCCAATCCGTGGCAGAGCGATCGTGAAAGTGGTTTCGCGTGCGTGTCTATCCTCGATACGCGTCGCGATTGGCGATGCCGATTTGAGCAAGATCGAAACTTCTGCAGGACGCCGGACGCTTCGTTTTTTCTCCGATCGTGGCGCTTGAAATTCCCAATCAGTTACCTTCACCGGATTCACCGCGAATCGACATCCGTAGACAGATAATCGTCATGGTCATCGTAGTATCAGAGATCTCACATTGACTCACTAACGAGGAAACAAAAACCGACGTTGGAACGTTTGACCGG